TATTGAAATTATTATTATTATTATTATTTATTTATTTTTTGTTATTTTGTCAATTTAAAGGTTGGGGTTACTTATGGCTCGATCGCAAGCTAATACTACTAATGCTAATAAAATAGAAAAGCAAATGTCCAAAAACTAGGTCTAGTCACGTGGGGTAAACGATTGAGTAATGGAATTTAGTTCGTGAAATATAATCGAATAAGTTTAAGGCAGTATTATCAAAGGGCTAGTGCATATCAATGGAATTTAGTTCGTGAAATACAATCAAATAGGTTGAAGGCAATATTATCAAATGGCCAGCACACAACGAATTAATTGATGCAATTCTAAAATAAAGAAATAGCGTCAACTAAAAATAAATAGGATCAGGAACTCCCTGAGTACTGTTGGTTTGAGTCGTCCCAGCGTCGAATGCCTCCACGCTCTGAACTACTAAGCCCTGAGATGCCAAGATAAAAATTCCGTGCTCGTCGAGGTGCGGTACTGAACAGTCAACTAAAATGAACCTGTAAATGATGTCAGAAAAATTAAAATTCACGATACTCTTTTTTTTTTTTTTTTTGGACTTTTTTACTAGGCCCAAAGAAGTAACTAAGGCTGAGCCCAAAACTGAAAATCAATCTCACAAGACAAATGCCAAAATACTAAGCCACAGCCCAATTGAAAAGCCCAAATTGGAAACTATTGGTGAAACTGAAAGATGCCTGGCCTCTTTCCCGTCAAACGACCAAGAGATGGTTACCGAGCGAGAGGCGGCACTGCTGGATTTTAGGGGTGGTGGCTGAGTTAGCTATTACTATTAGGTTTGTTGATGGTTAGAAAGGCTCAAGATCGACTGTTGATTTTAGGTGTGACTAGCGTGGCTCGAGATGGTGCCGGGAAGAAGACTGATGATTTTGGGTCGGCTTAGAACTTACTGCGTATGGGCTTGTTTGATTTCTAAGTATGGCGACGCGATTGCTGGCACCAGTTGAGGTCGGTTTGGGGGTTGTGTATGTATGGGCTGTTACGGTTGGCATGGTGAAGGAGATTTGGGTTTAGGTTGTTGATTTTAACGGAGATAATATGGTGGTCGGCGACGGATGGGTGTCACGTTGAGTTTGCAGCGACTGTAGGGTGAGTTTGTTGACAGGAACATACGCAGAGAAGATAGAGGTAGTGACTGGGTTCTGCAGCAAACTGGGTATTGGCTGCAGCAACGGTTTCTGTATTGATGCTGCGTGAATTGCTGTCCAGGATTTGCTCTGATACCAATTTGATGTAGGGAGATTAATAAATTAGTAAATAACAAGAAGGGAAGGGGGAGGAGAAGAGAAGAAGAAGGCAGAAACGGGGAGGAGGAGAGAAAACGGTCAAGCCAACTTTATAATTCTTAATCAATTCATCAACTGAGAAATTACAAACCAATGATAGGTAAATAATGAAAACCTAGAAATATAGGGCCAAGCCCATTGTTTAAGTCCTAATTAAAATACGTAAACCTAAATAAAAGTCCAACTGAAACAATAATAAAAGTCCAACTAAAATACTGAAACAATAATAAAAGTCCAATTATAAGGATGTCCTCATCAGTTTAGCATTGAAAGCAATGTAGAGCCCGTATATGATGTAGGAAGGCTACAATTTGAAAATAAACAAGAAGAGAAAGGGAATCAAAAAAGAGAAGAAATTCAATTAATTCTTATATTCAAGAATTTCTGTAAACCTTTCCCTAAGTCCCTTTATACAGAGAAAAGACTTTCAAACCAATTAAACTTCCAATCTAAACAAACTTGTAATAAAAGATAACATTGATAATATCAAACTCATAAAAATAAAACTACTAAAATCTAGATGAATTCAAACTCTACTTCTTTGTATTCTTTCCGCTTGATTAGACTTATAGTTGTTTCCTGATTGCATCATCGTAAAGTGGGAATTTTGAAAAGGAATGTTAAGTGTGAATGAGAATGCTTGAATTGTCACTTCCATGCATGAATTTGGACATGCAATCTGAGCAGGTAAAAATTAAATGATTGATAAAATGAGTAAAATAAAAATCGACTCGTATTAAATATTATGGCGTGTTCATAATCACATAAATACAAATAATAAAATTTTTCTCCAGAAAATAAGTCATAATTGAGTTTTTTATTAAAAAATGAGCAAAATTTAAGATAACCATTATTTTAGATGAGGTTTTACTATGTGGTCCATCATTAGAGTAACCCTCGTTGTCACTGTTCTACCTCTCGCCATAGCCACCAGATCCTGTTCCGACATTTAATGCATGTAGTCTGATTCTTCTGCATCCCATTTGTAGCCTGGGATTATCCCTGCATCTTACTATGAACTAGGAAGTTGTCATTCAATAGAGCCTTGAAACAGGAAATGATAACAAAAGAGAGAGCTGTCAACAGAACAAGAAAAATGAATTATTTTGCTAAGATATACTTGCTTTGAATCTTGTAGTAGATGTAGCAAATGATAGAACGGAACAGTGAAAAAGAATTCATGTAATTGACCCTAAATTTATAGAGAATTTGGCTTAGTCAGTAGTTGGTGGGGGTAAAAAAGGGAAAATATAAGATACTTGCAGGAAAAGAACACCTTCATGAGCGACCCAAATATGAAGTAAACAGAAAGCAGAAAAGCAATTAAACATATCGAATAACAGTGAAAACTAAGTCTCAAAGTCAAAGATTGATTCTTTCGACGAATATCTTCTATGTGCAAGTATCGAACATAAAATATTCAATTCAAGCAAACTAAATATGTAACAATTGTTGGAAAATTAAGTAATAGACCATATTAATATAGAAAAGTTTTGCTCTTCAAGGAAAGACATCTAAAAATCTCCCTCGTTATGGAAAGACAATGAGAATGGTTGCATCTCTGTGAACAAACACAAACAAACCAATAAATGCTTTGCCTTTTCAATTGATTATTAAAAAAAAAAAAAACAATGTGACATGGAAAACATAGTTTTCTATTTATTTCTCCACATTTTCATGCATAAATCATAAATTTTGTATCCCAAAAATCAAATAAAACCTCTTACAACATACTTGGACTAAATTTTGCCAAGGGGTTGGGCTTCATGTATGGTGCCAGCAATTGAAAGTGGTTTTACTTTGTGCATTGAAGCCCGTCTCTATTCTTGGGTCATGAAATTGGCAAATATTTCAACTCAATGCTACCAAACGTGCATTCTACAAACCGCCAAAAAACGATATCCTTTAAAGCACACCAAGAATCTGATTGAGAATTTCAAATGTAATCAATAAATGGAAAGTAAAAAGCACTAAAAAAGATCCAGTCTTTATTAGAAAATTAAAATTTACTCCACAAGGAGCAAAGGCTAGATCTTCACTTGTAAATTGTGACTAAACAAGAAAAAATATACATCAAACATATTTGAAGAACCTAGGCGGCGAAAATGGTTTGTCCGTTCTTCTGGGCACAAAAGGAGAAACGATATGCAATCGAGCAAAGCAAATAATGGGGAAAGCTTTTTGTTGGTCCCTTTTCTTGATTCTAACGAAATTTGGGTAGTTTGAAAAGCCAAGACTTGCCTTTTGCCAAGAACCGTTTTGCTATTACAAAATCTTGAATTCCATATTTACAAAGTTTTGGTTCTATGAATAAAATGTGTGATTTTGTTTTATCAGATACGAGGCTAAGGCCATCTCTAACGCGTTGCTAAAATTTGCACTATTTTGTACTAGATTTTACATTAAATCAAAATTCATCTACAACGATTACATTAAAACTTATACCAAATAAATAGTGTTTTATTATTTTATTCGTTCTTTCGATCATTATTGATTACTAAATTATCTACGTGTTCTATATATTATGTTAAATTGACGAAAATAATTGATTATATTATTAATTTATTATAAACAATTACGTTAAATTTACAAAAATAACTAAATTAAAAAATTCTTAATTATATTATTAAAAATAATAAATTTTAATAATGTAATTAATAATTATTATTATAGAATGAAAATGACACAAATACTTTTAATCATTATCTTTGAAAAATGAAAAAGAAAGACCAAACGGACATTATACCATTTGGTACAAAAAAATGGTGCAACATTGTTCATGTTGCAAAATGGTGTAAATGTTGGAGGAAGGTTTGCACCAAATTTTGGTCCAATCATGTTTCCTATCCTAACAACTTGACAAATGCAAGTTGCACACGTACATTGTTTATTCAATTGACATTTTCGTCTAATGAGAGTACAACTTAATAAATAAGATGATAATATCATGACAATAATATTTGTGACGAGATCTTCCTCATCCCCCTTAAGAAATGGGCTCTAAACGATCGGTGCTTTACAATAATATAGCATTTGAGATAATAAGATCCTTTGTGATAATTCATATATTTATCTACTCAAATTGAAGATCTTTTAAATTGAATAATGCTATTTGCAGTCGCTCACTACAGCAGTCGTCTTACGTGGCATACATATGACAAGTGGTTATTTGATGCATTAATAAATAAAAAATTACCATATTAATGTATCAAATAATTACCTATCATGTTTATACCACGTAGGGCGACTACCACAGTGAGCGACTACGAATAGCATTACTCTTTTAAATTACATGACACGATACATTTCCCTCATTTTCGCAAACATTCATACATTTGTACTTGTCCTTTAGTACTACAAATGATTTCGATATGATATCTAATTTTTTTATTATTAGATTTAAATATTATACGTGTAACGATACAATTGAAAATAAAAATTTAACGTGAGCCATATCTCCCAAAAAGAACAATTATTTTGTTATAGTTTGATTTTTTATTATTATTTTTTTAATTTAGAAATGTCTGTGAAGCATTTTCTGCCATAATTTTAAAATAATAAAATGGCAAAAGAAATTGCAATGAAAATTGTTAGGCCTTTCTCACGAGAGTTTGGCATGCGTCCTCGTGCATGAGCATGACATTTGTTATTTTTCTTTATTTGCAATTTTATCATTCCAGCACTAAATCCTTCATTCCCTTCACAATTGCTACAATCTGAAAACCCCCCCCCAAAAAAAATGAATTTATAAAAAACCCTCTATTTCCAGCCGACCTTCATTTCTCTCAGTAAGCTGTCTCTATCTATGTTTTTCACTACTTTTGTCAGGGAAAATCTTTGGTTGTTTTATTTAGATCAATATAAATTTATGTTGTACTTTTTTTTGTTTTCACAGATCTGAGTTCAATAACTCAAAATTTGTGCATTTTTTCGTTTTGGATTTTTGGGATTTGTGCATATGTTTGCATTTTCTGAAAGAGTACATGGGTGGATTCGTTTTCTGAGAGTTGTATATACAGTATACTTATGCGGTTTTTGTAGGTTTGTAATTTGGACTATAAATGTACTAAATTTACAGTTTTGAATTCCAGGTGAACACATTCATGTGCCGAATTTTGTGGGGTTTTTATTGTTTCGCAGTTTAGTGATTCTGTTAATAAGATGGACGGAAATGGCAGTATGAATTTGAGGAACTGGGGGTTTCTTGAGAGGGCAACCACTCCACTAAAGAGCCATTTGGGCCTCCAGCTAATGTCATCAATGGCTGAAAAGCCCGTTTTCAGTGGTGATGTTCATGCCCACCACCGTGTCCTCCCATCGGGGGTTATGGCTTCAATCAATGGCGGGCCATTCCACCATCATCGTGTTGGTGGGATTTCTGAGTCCCACATTCCCATGGACTGTACGAGGGAGAATTGGATGAATCACGGCAGAGAAAAGTATGTAAATAGTTTGCCCGGCAACCAAAACCAAGGCTATTATCATCTGAATTATGGGCTTTTACCTGAGGCTTCGTCAGCCCATTCCATCCAAATGCCCCAGCAAATTAATATAGCAAAAAATGAAAATGCAGTACGGCAGGTGGAGGAGGTAAGAAAGGAGGGAGAGAATGGTGGCAGTGGTGGTGCTCTTAATAAGAAGAGAGGAGGTGGAAAAGTGCCAAAGTCTCCTGCCAAAGAGAAAAAACCTAGGACTAGAGCACCTAGGGATCCTAGAGAAGAGTCTAGCCCTTCGGTTCAGCGAGCGCGGGCTCCCAAGAAACGGGCTGAAGTCATGATCAATGGAATCAATATGGATATTTCGGGGATCCCTATACCAGTTTGCTCGTGCACTGGGACTCCACAGCAGTGTTATAGGTGGGGCTCAGGTGGGTGGCAATCTGCATGCTGTACTACTGGAATGTCTGTGTACCCCTTGCCTATGAGTACTAAGCGACGTGGTGCGAGGATAGCAGGGCGTAAGATGAGTATTGGTGCGTTTAAGAAGGTCTTGGAGAAATTTGCTTCAGAAGGTTATAACTTCTCTAACCCAATTGATCTGAAGAGTTACTGGGCGAAACATGGTACAAATAAGTTTGTGACAATTCGGTAAATCTACGTGGAAGTGCTGCTGCTGGCCCATGAGATACATGTGCTCCTTGATTCTTCTATACATATATGAATGGCCTGGCCCGTAGCAGAGGCTTCTGAGGTAGTCTCTAACTGGTGGATATCTCTTATGAGTCAGCTTATGCTTTGTTGGAAAATTCCTATAAGTTATTCAGTTTATTCCATTCGTAGTTCAAGCAAATGCTGATCTTTTCTTGATGACAGGGGATAAGGATAATTGTTTAGATTTATATCCCGCAACTACAGATTCCTTAATTGCTTTTTAGAGACTTTGGTTGAGAAAATGATTGATTCTTTTTCTGTGCTAATTTTCTTGAAATGGAGATTGATGAGAAGATAATTTGTTTACGTTTTATAGGTTTAGTGTCAAATTGAAGTAGTTATAGTGTTTTGGTAAGAAACAAATAATTGGACGATGATTACTGCTTGAACTGGTGAATTTGGAGCACTACGTGTTAAAACTGCCAAATGTCTCAGCGAGTTATACTTGTGACGCGTTAAGTGTCCATGCCTTTGAGCTAGAGCTAGACTAGCTTGCATAAGATCAAGTCTCAATATCTTTCTAAATTTTGCTAGTAAGTCGAGTTTCTAGAGGATAATGTTCTTGGAATTGTAGACTAGCATGCTTTGAGTTGATTTAGTCGAATTCAGGGGTCAAGGAAATTTGAGAATTCAAACCTATGAAGAAAGGAGATGCGATTTGGTTGAAATTCACGGGACTGAAGGAGAAAGGATGAAATATTTGGATACTCATTATATTAATAGGTCACGTGAAACTTTGAGGTTGAGATTAAATGAATGTCAAGAACTGGGAAAGCTACTCGCATAATTTTGTTGTATACTATTTTGATTGCTAAGTCTCTAAAGGATGTCGTATACTATTCTATATATAGGTGGAAGGTTCAGGGGCACTTCTAAATTGGAGCTTTTGAAACGGAAAAACTGGTGTTCTTTTACACTCTATAAACTACTATTGGGGCAACTGGAGGAGCACGGCTTGGGTTTAAATACTTGTTGCCTACTAGTGCGTGGTGAATCTTGAACTGAATGAGAGCTGCATGTAGTTGAGTCCCGTGTGAATATTTTGGAAGTAGGAACTGCTGAAGACGATGACAGGTTGGTGAGAGTTGATTAAATGGTTAATGCATCATTTTTTTCTCTGTAGATTATAAGAATGTGCCGTAGGCTGATTAATGCATCAGGTGAGATTGATTTGAAAGAAAGCCTATGAAAGTATTGCACTTGCAGTTCGACTTAATACTGTTCAGTTGTTATGAACAGCCTTGATTGTTGAAGATCAGAATGTGGTATGGATCAGAAAGTCCCAGTTTTCGAGATTTTGGAGAGTCAAAGTTTTTCGGATAAATGAATGAACAAATGGCCAAAAATTTACCATTCATATATATAAAACATGTTGCAACTAGAAGTTCTCTCTTTTCTTGTTTCAAAAATTTTGTTGTGCTGTAATTCTTAATGAGAGGATTTTTTAGAAACTTTAGGTGCTAAGAGGAACGAATAGAAATTAGTCGTAGTGTTCTAATAGAGGTGAGTGAAAAAATTGTGAAGTGTATTGTTAATCCAATAAGGTTTGTTTTAATAAAAAAACCATTAAGGGAAAGTAATGGTGGAATGGAAAGGTCAAAATCTGCTTATGGCTATTGAGTGGTAATAAGAGTTATACTTTTCTGTCTTAAAATTATCAAAACAAGGTTCTGGTTTACTATTGTCCGGGTCATTGTCCATGATCCTAGGATGGTGGTAGAATATTTATTTCTCAACTAAATTCACTCGTCAGTATAGTGTGAAAATTTGACTCTTGTTCTAATAAATATATTTTTGTCTTGGTTTCCAACTTATTATCTTGTAGGTCTAGCAGACAAAAACTGGTAACACAAATCCCCTTCAATTTATCAATCAATCTGGTTTTGTGGAGATTACTTAAGTTTCTTGAGTTGTAGGTAGCTAGGAATGGATGAAGAACTTTCCAAACTGAAGATATCACCTTTGTTCCGATGCATATTTGACTCAACAATCTCACTTAGCCTCGAACGTTCATCTTCTTCCAGTATTGAAGATCATCTGGTGAAGTATGCAGCCTGGGCCTACGTGCACTTGGCCACCGTTCTTGTCAATCGAGATCAAGATTTGGTTTCTCGTCTTTGGGAAAAGATGGAGAAATCTTGCGTTGGATTTCTCTGGTGCTGAAACTCGTGCGTGAGGGTTCCATTACGAGCTTTTTTCCATCTGGTTCTCCACTTTCTTTATCGGTTTCTTGGTATGATTAAGAGTGTTTATATAACCTCTGTTTAGTTTAGCTAAAAAGTAAGATTTTAGTAGATTTTGACAAATGTTGATTAGATATGTGATTAAAAAAATAAAAGTTGTGTATTACATGATTAGGGAAAAAAATCATATATCAAGGATTAAGTATACATCAGTTCAATTTTCAAAGAATAAGTTTATATTTTCAAAACTGCCCTCTTTGGACGAGTAGGGACAGAATCCCCTTAAAAAGGTTATAGACTTCACCTATCTTTTGTACTTAGGTACTAATAAAATTTATTATATAAATAAATAATTCTATATAAAATAATTACAATCTCTCTCTAGTTGAGGCATCAATCACCAACATGTCCAATCGGCATCCAAATAACTTTATCGTAGGAAAGATAGAATCTATAGAGATTGTTGGGGACTACATCTTCTTCAACTGCAAACTTATCTTCGCTCAACGACAACTGAGCGTAGC